AAGATTTCTAAAATTTCATGTCTTTTCTAAATGATACTGGATGAATGCAACTTTTTATTTTCCATTTTCCACACCTGGTGTGTGTATAAAACTCATCAAAACACTTCTGGAATAATTCATACATATTCAAACCAACATTTGAATCTGAAATGGGACTGCTTCAAGCTCACAATGGAGTTGTTTCGGACTCAGAATGGTCAGATCAGTATCGAAATACTTCTGGTAAGCTATGAACATCTCTTGTGAACTCAATAGAAGGCATTTTAAACTCAAAACAGGATTTCTTCCTTAAAAGTTTTTGAATGCAAAGTATTTTGCACAGCACTACTTTTGATTATGTTTTTTCTGTCCAGAGCCCTAAATATGTGCTGGATGACAACTCTCATCATCCCCAGCTAATATGGAAGATTGAGAAAGTTTTATTACATTATACTAGCAATATGGGATATTGTAGACAAAAAATCAAGGAAGCTGCCATGACACACTTTAAATCTAGAGAGAAAAGATATGGTGGGAAGTATGACTGGCTTCATATTAACAAATTCACAACCTAGTGATTATACATCCTTCTGTAAAAAAAAGTAAATGATGTACAATGTACAGAAATACCTCCTAAGATTCTGGGTGACGTGTCCTCTTTCCCCTCATTATACTTCCTGCATAAATCACAATGGAATCATACTAAGTAAAGTAATTACAGGCTGCAGTTTATACCTAAAATTGATCTAAACTGAAACCATATCAAGTTTTAATTGATATTTCTAACAATGAAAATGAATACTGCTTTTTCTATAAAGCTGCCCTATAATGCTGATTTTAGGAAAACATGTAAGAGGTAAAGTTGCTTTAAACAAAAGAGATACACATTTTACCTGTTAAGCCACACTATCTTCAAGCTCAGATATACCGTATACATACAGTGCATTCGGAAAGTATTCAGACCCCCTTCACTATTTTCAATTTTGTTATGTTGCAACCTGATACTACAATAGTTCAAATTCATTTTTTTTCTCATTAATCTACACTCACTACCT